GCTCACAACAGCACTGTGTGCATGGGGTGTGTGGGAAGTCAGGGGCATGTGCTCACAACAGCACTGTGCAGAGGAGGAGAGAAAGGCAGCTCAGGGTCACAAACGCACATTGGACCTGATGCCCAGGTGCTGATGGCTGTTCAGGCGTTTGACTGCATAGGTTTGAGCAGAGTTCAGCTCTGCAGCTAGTGAGGGTACCTCTCTGCAGGACTCCTGAGATTTGCTGTGATAGAGGTTGCTTCCACAGTAGGGACTCTTCAAGAATCTTCTGGAGTGGCTTTGGAAGGTGGATGGGAAAGGCTGAGAGGAGCTTTCTCTGCCCTCCATTAGTGGAGAAACCCCACTGCTGTGGTGAGACTGGAAGCCTGTAAGACTCCTTCCTACAGACTAGCCCCCGCTGCAGTGCAGGAGGCACAGAGCAAGGGAGAGGCAGGTGCGGGCCTGGGCGGGGAGGAGAAGGCCAGTGGGGCCTGGCCTGGCAGGATCCAGCGGCTAGGGCAGTGGTGTTACTGTGTCCAGGATGTTTGCCTATAACCAACTTACCTCTTGTCTCTCTCTCCTGCCTCCCTTACCGTCCACTGCTTTGCCTAAATAACCACTACTTGTTCACACACTCGCCGTGCCTGGGCTCCGGACTGCGGCCTGCAGGCCAGGAACAAGTGCCTTTCTGTTGAGCAGCCCACCGTCTTTATGCTTTCCCAGACCGCCAGTAGTCTGAGTTTCTGACCAACAGGTGACCATCTCTGCCTTCTTGCATGTTGGGGTGATGGCCACAGGACCAGGTGGAAAGGACTTAGTGTGAGGCCGCCCACTACACTCTGGTATTGTCAGTCAGCACCATTACCTCATCAGGTAACACGGTGACGGGATGCCACCTGCGAGGGGTACACTAACGATGGGCTCTGTCTTCCTCCAACAGCTCATGGCAGCCCCCCGTGTCCATCACGGGGTTCAGAGCTTTCAGCATTACTTGACACAGGTGGCTCAGCCCCTAAGCACCTGACAATCAGACAGATCATACACAGTCAATCCAGCTTGAGCAAGGTGACTTCAGCATGGCCCTGTTCTCCACAGCCATGGTGGTACAGACTGAGACTTCTTCCCACACATCCACCCTGAGAACTCTGTGAGGTGGAGTCACACTAATGGTGACCTCTGCTTACCGATTCCTGTTCTACTTTTCAAAATAAAGACCTGTTTCTAGAAAACTCTGTGATATGCTGCTTTTAACGCCCCTGTGGCAGCACGGAGCTCCACCCATTGTGGCAGAGGAGACCTCGCCCTAGGGTCCTTCCCCTTGGTGGCTGCTATAGCCAGTACCTGCTCCTCAGCCAAGAGGTTAGGAGACAGCAGCACCATGTAGTGCTGTGGTGTTCACTGAGTTTCCCTGTACCCCAACATGACACCCTCGTGTGCTCCTTCAGTGAGGTTTACAGGATTACCTGCATGGAGCTCCTGCCTTACCAAGGCTTATGCCTAAAAAAACACCCAAAGCAAGAAAAAGAAAAAAGAAAAAAAAACAAGTTACCTCCTATCCTATGTATCTTAAACACCATATTTAGCAAGATGATACATTTTAAAATAATGACGACCAAAATGTTTCTACCTTAGTGCTGTAAGAATCTGTTAGAATAAATTACATCATTCCAGCTGCCATTTGCACTCTTGAAAACATTTTGGAGAAAATTTTTAGGATGTCACAAATACTTTGTAAAACATGGTACATACCAGCTCAGGCTGCACACCCTGTTCCCTGTTGATGATGTTTCCTGGGCACTGAGTTTCTTAGACCTGTGCAGAAGCAGACTCCACCACTGGTGAGGTCCGCTGGGGGCCTGTCTCCTGTAGCCCGAGTCTCAGCCCCAGGTAGCAGAGCAGAGCACACACTACACAGGCCCTGCCATCGCACTTCAGACACAGCAGACAGACACACTGCGCTGCAAAGCACCATGGTTCTGCAAAGCTTTGGAGGAATAAACATTGCACAGGCCTCGGTGAGGCAGATTTGACTTCAGACACCTGGGGTTTGCTTTCAACCTGTTCCTAGTTCAGGGCAAGCGTGTTGGACACTGAGCATGTTATATATATCACACTTGTATATATAACAGTGCACATCTCCCTCCGCTCAGTCTCTGTGTCCACACACTTGGGGCAACCTGCCTGCCTCCCTGTGCCTGTCTGGGCGCCACCACCATCTCTGGCTTCTCCTCACTGGACACTGGCCAGTTCCACCTGCTCTTCTGCCATCCGGCCTGTAGTCCTTCAACTCTGAAAGCTCCCCCATTCCTCAGCACTGAGGGACTGGTGGATGAGGACTGGAAATGTCTAAAAGCTGCACCACGCCAGGCCAGGAGCCAGCAGCCTTCAGGACATGGCCTGTGAATGTCCTATCTGCCAGGCAGGCTGTGCAGAAATACTGCTCATATGTCAGTGCCTCTGCGGAGGAAGCGACACCCAGGGCCCTGTGGCAGGATGCAGAGGTTTACAATTCTCGACGCCAATTCCTGTATGTTGGGAGCAGGAGCTTGTTAGGACTTCCAGCTGGTGGCCCTCTACAGTGGTGCTGCAGCGAGCCCTTTGACATGGCCACTTCTTCTCTGGGTACAGACTTCTTCAAAAAACCTGCTCAGGGCCATGTGTTCCCTAGAGGGGTCTTTGCACACAGGCCACCCCACGCCAGCTCTGCTTGCCTTGATGGCATCGTGATACGTGCAAACCCTGCAGGCAGAGTGGATGGCCTGCCATGGTGGCGTGTGGGGCTGGCATAGGTCAGTGTAGGAGTGGCCTGGGCCTGCGGTAGCCGGTGCACGGGCACTGGCCTCCCTCACTGGCCTCTGCAGGCAGCAGCTCAGTGTCTTTCCTCACCCTTGCAGCAGAGCACCCGACTCAAAGCATTGGCCGATGCCACTTCGAACAGCGACAGGCCCCTGCTGAAGGACTTCTTACCGCAGCCAAGACGTGTCTAGCCCAACGCTAGGTAACGGTATGGCTGCCTATTGGGCACTGGGCCAGTGTGCTGTGACTCTCAGACTGTTCTTCCTCCAAAGTTTTGCTGTGTTGTCTGTTTTTTAAATGAGTGATTTGCTCTGAAAACTCTAGCATTTTTACACATGCACACACACATACACACAGGTAAGTAGCAGCTGAGAGTGAGCTAGGCAATAGGGGAAACATTAGAACACGTGTCCAGTGCTGCCTGACAAGCTGGCTCCTGCCCTTGTGACAGACACAGCTTCACTTAAAAGCCACTGGGGATAATCCTGTCTGGGCATTGGAAGTAAAATCTCACACAGCAGCACAGGACATGAGCCCAGGGAGTCTCTAGCTGAAACCGTTAGTTAAGCACAACTGTGTCTGGACATCCTGGGACTCTGAGGCCCCTACAGTATTTGTGATCCAGCCTCACCTAGTGGTGCTCACCTGAAAACAGTATAATTAGGGACTTGTCACCCGGGAGAGCAGATCCACCCTGTGCAGCCTCGTGTCCCTCCCTCCTGGCTGCCAGCTGCTGTTTGTGCATGCTGTGATGTTTCTTCAGAGGTAGTGCCAGCCACTTGTGTCTGGTAACTGTAAGCTGAGGGCATGATAGCTTGCTGTGGTCAGCATGATATTGACCTAGTCCCATCGGGCTAGGCCGTCCTAGCCCGCACAGATGAGGCCTGCCTTCTTCCAGGAGTAGGGCCAGAACCCTAGCTCAAGGATGTCGGGGGCCTTTGATCACCTTGCATGGCAGTAGTGACCTCGAGGATGCTCAGTGTGTCAGCGCTTGGCCCCTTGTCGACCGTGCGGGACGGTCCCTCTGTTGGCACTAAAGCACAGTATTGATCCCCAGACCCAAAGGCACATTGCCTCTGGTCACAAGTCTCATGGGCTGGGCCCACTTACCTGCCCCTCAGGGTGATACAGTGGCCCGAGGTAGGCTGGCAAACCTTCAGTGATTGGTTGATCAGGGCTCCTCAGAAAGGTTCTGTGACTGACGTGGCCCTTCTATTCTTTTGGCAGAGCATACAACTCCAGGACAGCATTTCAGAATTCACCCCTCTGGCCTCTTTGCAGAGCTGGGGTGTTCAGGGCACCAGATTCTTAGCTGCCCAATGCAGCTCCCCCTCTGGGAGAGTTGTGTGATCCAGGTGGGAGATCGAAGAGTACCCTGGGCTCCCTCCTCACCCAGGCCTTCCCCTCAAGGCAAGGTATGGGTGCTGTAGGTCCAGCCTGGAGACACCCACTCGATGGACAGACAGCCCCTCTGCCCCAGCCTCTGAGAGCTCTGTTCTTGGGCACCTGTATGTGCCTGCGCCTGTCCCACCCTTCATCCTCAGGAAGGGGAGGGTGGGATCACAGGTTGGCCACTCAGGCACAGCACACTGCAGTCTGGACTGTGTGTGACCGGCATCATCGTCCAAGGCCTGGTGACCATCCATCCAGTCGGGCTCTGGAAAAGGACTCTGTGCCAGGCCTCATCTTAAGCACTGCGGCTATGAAGCCAGCCTTACCAGCCTGTGTATCCACCCTGCTGCTGTCCCATCTACAGCCTTGTGCCCACCAAATGCACTCTGCTCATACTGTAGCCCGAGTCCCTGACCATGTGTTTCCTGTGTAAACCATGCACACTTCCCACGAGGGAAGTGGCCGTGTCAGACAATGAGTGGCGTGTGTCTCCTGGACCTGTGGCCTCGCTGTGCTCATGCCCGCTGTCCCCTCACAAAGCCATTTTCCTGGATCATGTCTGAGTCAGTTTGCTGAGATACTGACGATACACTTGGAGCTTTGGAAGGTGTCAATGTCCCCTTCCTGTCTCCGGCTGCCTGAGGAAGATGACATTTATGTATGTGGATAAGTCACGTTGTTAGCCAAGTCTCTCAGGAGTGTAGTGATACGAACCACATTCTGGAATGATATCAGTTAACCTATTGGAAAACATTTGCCTCTGGGGTGCTGGGAAAGGTGGAGGTTTGGGGCACCCTGGCAGGTATTTATCCCACCCAGAGGTGAGTCCTAATACCCAAGCTGTCTGGGGCTAATGCGGATTCATCCTGTCTACTCTGCTGCTCAGCCTGCCTCACACTGGTGCCATCCAGGGCTCCACTTGGAGTGGACAGGCTATCAGAAGGCCACTGTGTGTGAATCTCTGCTGCTGCCCGCACCGGCATTTCTGTTCTCAGCAAAGCACCTGACGGCGCTGTAATGGGCCTGACTCAGAAGAGTGTGATGCAGACTTTCAGAAAGTGCCAGGCAGAGCCTGGGAGAAAGCCATCCCCATCCCTGTGGAGTCATGTGGTGGGCCTGGAGCCATGCTGAGGGTCTTCTGGCACTTGAGAGCGTGTATCCTGGGAAGCACAAATTTTACAACATGATTACACAAGGTTCCCCTATAAACCGTGTGCTTGACCTGGAACCAGCCAACAGGAGGAGCAGCTGCACCTGGCAGCTGGGGGAGGTTGGGTGAGCTTAACACCACACCAAAGAAGGGGAGGGGGTGGCCTTGAGCTTCACACAGACAGAGGATGCCCAGCTCTGCTAAGGGCTGTCTGCCGCCACCCACCCTCATGCCCATTCACCCACCTGTGTCGCCATGTCAGAGGATTGGAGCCCCAGTCCACACTGGCCCTTAAATAGTGTGTGCATTTTTACTGCCCCTTTTAAGAACCCAGATGGGTACAAATATAACACCTGTGGGGAGGGGCAGATTTTCTCTGTTTAGTTAACAGATTATTTGTAATGTATTTTTTTAGGGATCTTAAAATTACCTTTGCACTAAAGTATTTTCATAGCTGTTTCTATACCTTATTCATGTGTTGATGCACCTTCTGATTTTTAAATACGTTTTTAAAGCTTTCGCTTTTTAAGTTTAAGAATTCTGGCCACTCTAAATGCTGGTGAGCGTTTTGGCTGAATGTTTCAGCGTCCGGCAGTGACCGCTCTGATTCTCCTCTGTGCCTCTTTCTTGGTGTTTCCAAAGACTGACCAGCTGAGGTGTGCTGAGGGCGAACCATCTCCTCTGCTTGCTTTGACACAGTCCTTTGTCGCTTCATGGTTTCTATTTTGTTTTTGTTTTTTTATTTCCATCCTTCAGCCTTAAACACTTAAACAATATTCTTCCTGCAGGCTCATGCTGTAACCCTCTCTGGGTGTGTGAGCACTCTCCTGTACCACCCCCCCCCCAGTAGCTGCAGTTGACGTAGGAACGTCCCAGACTGAATGCACACTCCAGTGTCCTTTAAAATTGTGCTTAGGAAATTACTAAGTGAAGTTGCCTGAGAATTTGAAGTAGACAAGGGCCCAGGTGAAATGCAGAGACAGAGAACAAACACTAGGGCAGAAGGTTGTCCACCTCACCTCACAGTGGCTGCTGTTTACTTTCCTTAAAGCAAGGAACATCGACTCAAAGTAAGCATCCTTTTTCTTAATTCAGCTGCACAAGCGGACATCTGTGGCTTACTGCATTGGCCCGAGTTCATGGTCCCCTTACAAGTAGCTCATCTCACATATGTTCCAGGAGCCCTGGCTGCATATGTGTCCTCTGACTTTCTGCTCCACACATGCCATGGACAAGCATGTATAGACATGTACACATGTGCATTCTTTTTCAAGACCATGTACCAACCTGCTTTCTGACAGCCCTGTGCAGAGATGTTGCCCTCTAGAATGTCAGGCTACACACACACACACACACACACACACACACACACACACACACACACGGAAGGGCGCTTGGGCTGTGCTCACATAGAGGCTTTGTGAGTGAGTGCTATGCTGGACTGAGCTCTCCCATCCCAGGGAAGTGTACCTCCCAGTCAGGACCTCCCCTTGCTCCCCTTGCTCCCTCATTCCAGCAATCAGGATCCAGGCTAACCTGAGTAGAGGTGCCCGCCCCCTGCCACACACTCGGAAAACATTATGTTCCTAAATCCCAGCGATCCATTCCTGAGTACAAGCAGACCAAAGGCCCCACCCAGGGGGATGGCACAGCCAAAGCTGGAACAGGGTCACTTCTGAGTGTTCAGACTGAGCACACTTCCCAGAACCAACTGCTGAATGTCCTGAGTGTGCTGTCACGCTCACCCACGTTGCTGAGCCTCACCCAGGTGTCTAGTGTTCTGGAGGACGCTCCAGCCTGGGTCTCTGAACCCCCAAGTTCAAGGCATATCTGCACTGGTACTGGACTCGCCCATCCGTTTATTTCATCTTAATGTAGTTTATCGGCAATGCCCTAGAACAGCAGACCCTTGCATTCTGCCTTTCTTTTGGAAGTTACCCATCCATGACTAAAACCAGGAAAGCGTCACTTGGTGAATGCAATCTTTTTGTTTTAAAACCTAGAAGACGGGTGAATGGAAAGGGGTGTGGTTCTGATACTGTGTCTGAACAAAGCTTTAATGAAGATATGTATGTTGGAAGTATTATGAAAGTGTGATTCTAATTTTGCAGAGAAAATGTCTATCAATTTATATAGCTTTATTTTTTACCTTATCAAGAGATATAGAATTTTAATATGCATATATTGTCTGACTTAGAATCATGTGTGTCTGCATTACCACTTAAAATGTCCATCTACTATGTAATGTATGAATAAGAGAGAATCAAAGACGTATTTAACATGAATGGTTATCTGTAGCTGCCATTGTCATAAGTACTGGGATGTATTTTAAATTATCAAATATAGTAAGTACATTAAACATGTCATTCTCCAACACTAATGTTTAACTGAGAGCCCAGTAACCTGCTTTGAAAAATTAAATTGTGAATTAAACCAGATCAAACATCTCATGAGGTTTATTTTGCATGCCGCTGATTGGATTTCTGTAGGCAATCCTGACCCACTGAGCTTTTCCGTAGGAGATTCTGTTTTCTTCCTAACGTGTATGGCAGTGTGTTAGATGCACACATACTTTCTGCTAACAGAAGCCGTGGTTAAGACTCCGGGCACATGTATCTTTTTGGGAGCAGGGGGTCACATTGTGTGGGTCTTGTGGGAAACGGAATCTCTCGGTGTCACTGACAGAGGCAAAGTAGTGCTGTGCTGGGGACTACACCTCATTTCTTTTTGTTTTGTTTTTTGATTTTGGGGGTTTTTTTTGTTTTTTTGTTTTGTTTTGTTTTTCAAGACAGGGTTTCTCTGTGTAGCCCTGGCTGTCCTGGAACTCACCCTGTAGACCAGGCTGGCCTCTAACTCAGAAATTCACCTGCCTCTGCCTTCCAAGTGCTGGAATTAAAGGCGTGCACCACCACCGCCCGGCTACACCTCACTTCTATACCCGAACATTTGAGGGCCCTCTGAAGCCTGAATGTAAAGCCACACTGTGACAGCCCTGGCCAAAACCAGAACACAAGAAACTTAGCATCAGACTCCCCAGTATCATAAGGCTTCCTCACTAGGTCCTCTAATCTTGTAACCCACCTCTGGGATACCTCCTCTCCCCTTCATCTTCTACCAGACTTGGGGCTCACCAACCCCAGCGTCACTATGAAGCAGTTAATTGGCTCGTGCTATCCCAGTTGAGACAGCTATGTGGGGAGTCTTTTCTACTAGCCCTGCCACCCTCTGCAGCTGGATGTCCTGGATGCTGGTACCCGGATAGACCTTATAGATGCTGGGCTCCTTTCTTGAGCACCTAGGTCCCAGCTCATGCCTGAGCTTTCAGAGTAGATCCCCTAAGAGGTGAGGGGGACCATGGAGTGAAAGGTCACTCTATTCCTTAGTAGTGTCCTGTAAGAGTGATCTTCAGGTTTTGGTACAATGTGCTGATGATCAATTCTTACTGCATACTCGGCTCCTGGCCATCTGAGTGGTTCCCGTTACATGCAGTTCATAATCCTGAACTCTGGGACTCCCTCTTTGTAGAAGCCTGGCCATAGCTGTGTGTGTGTGTGTGTGGACTGGAGAGAAAACCTGAGAAGCTTTGTAGAGCTGAGTGCCCAAAGTTGAAATATGCACTCGCTGCCCTGCCTGGTCAAATGGGACTAACATTGATTCCCTGCCTAGAAGGCAAGTCGGGGATGTACCCAGCAAGTCCCTCTGGGGTTCCATCTGCTACAAGTCTTGGAACTAAGAAGCTCTTGGCGCTGCCCTCGACCTTCTCTGCAGACATGGGTTCCAAGCAAGTGTCATGGTTTGTATATGCTTGGCCCAGGGAGTGGCACTCTTTGGAGGTGTGGCCTTGTTGGAGTAGGCGTGTCATTGTGGGAGTAGGCTTTAATACCCTAGTCCTAGCAGCCTGAAAGTCAGTCCTTTCACTAGCAGCCTTCAGATGAAAATGTAGAACTCTCAACTCCTCCTCACCAGGCCTGCCTGGATGCTGCCATGCTCCTGCCTTGATGATATGGACTGAACCTGTGAACCTGTAAGCCAGCCCCGATGAAATGCTGTCCTTATAAGAGTTGCCTTGGTCGTGGTGTCTGCTCACAGCAGGAAAACCCTAAGACAGCAGGTATCAAGATAACTGATACAGACTCCCCCATGTAGTTGCCTGGGCCAGTGTCCTGCCTCTGCTCTGCCCAGCTCTCCTGACCAGTGGGGCCTTGCCTTCCTCGCTACGTATCAGAACATCCGACACCAACCTGGCTCTCTCCCCAGGATCGAATAGTAAATAAGTAAACAAATAAATGCACAGTGGAGTAGACAGGAAGTCCAACGGACCCAGGTAGAGACCATGGCCAGGTTTCCTTTCTATGTGTCCATCGGGGAGTCTCTGACTCCTCATCAGTCTGGATAAAGGTTCTTTTGGAGGCCCTGGCGTGTGTCAAACTCTGGGACCCTCTTTGGGTTATCCATTCTCTTTCATACAGACCTTGACTTAGAAGTAATTCTATTCCCCCTCTCACAACTGACTTACCTGTATGTGGCACAGAACACCCTCAGGAAGAGATCACAGGGGAGCACGTTTGAAGTGCTCATGACACCAGGTACTTGCCTGTTCACTGCGTTCCAGGGCTGCCCAGCCACTGCAAACTGAGACGTGGAAGAATCTACCCTCACAGCTAGGGAGGACAGAAGTCCAAGGCCATAGTGTTCAGCCCCTGTGTCTCCCCTACTCCTGCCTGGGAGCTCCATTCTCATCTCCTGCCTTTCCTTGCCTGGCATCATCCTTGGCCTGGGTCCTCCCAGGCCCCTGTCCTATTGTGTTGGATCTAAACCAAGGATGGCTTCACACCTTAAAGATGTGCCTAGTGAACTGGAAGGGGTCCCACACCCCTTTAGGCAGGGGCATCCCTGGGAAAAGCAAGGGGTTTGGTCAGTGAATGCTATGGCAAACCTTCTGGGACTTCCTTTGCTCACTCAGAGAGGCATCAGACTACAAGCTGACCCATTCCACTGGCTAATGTCTGCAATGTTAAGCAAGCTTGCTTATTATGAATGGGTCTATGTCTGTCTGTCTGTCTGTCTGTGTCTATCTGTTCTCCCTCTCTCCCACTCTGTGTGTCTGTCTGTGTCTGTCTCTCTGTCTCTCTTTGTCTCTTTCTCTTGTGCGCGCACACGGGTGCACACACACACACACACACACACACACAAGGATTCCCTGAATTGACTTGATCTCCTGAGCTTCCTGCCTTCCCCTTCCTTTGTGATGCTAATTTCCTGTATCTTGCTGGGGACTCCTTGGGGCTCTTGAGGCCCACAAGCACAAAAGACCTACCCTGCTAACAAGCCTGAAACCAGCAGGGAGCTACAGGGTTGTGTGAAGGGACGGATGGGCTTTGTTCTTGGCTGCACCAACTCCCTTACACTGCCTCACTTGAGACTCAACCTGACATTTTCTGATTGGTGGAAAGCTTGCTCTCAGCCTCCCAAAGCAGAGAGCTCTCCAAAGAGCACTGCTCGGTGTGCTCTGGCTTCCCTTGTTGCCAGAGGGCCTGGCCCAGACTGTGCCACTCACATTTTAGGCACTTGAGACACAGTTTTCTGGTTGTCAAGGGGTGCTTGCATGGTGACAGAGACACATTTTATAGGGACATCGTTGAATGAGAGGTGTGTGGTCATGGATGTGGCATTGGCCACTTCTGTTTCTGCACTGGTAATGATGTTTGTGCGTCCTACCGAAACTCTGTATCCATGGGGATCATTCCTTTTGCACTTTTGTGGACTTTAATTGTTCTATTAAGTGGCATGTAATACAGCTATGTAGATGGGGACTTTGATGCCATCATGGGAAACAGGAACTTAGCCTTTTAAAAGTTAAAGAACCATATGTTGAGGTTGCTAGATGGCTCAGGGGTAAGAGCACTTACTATCTATCTAGCTGGATGGCGTGACTTAAATCCCCAGGACCTATACAGTGTAAAGAGAACGGACTCCCACAAGTTGTCCTCTGACCTCCACATGTGTGTCTTAAGACTTGCATATGGAGGCACGCGCACACACACACACACACCACGCATAAGTGCATATGCATGTGCACACACACAAAGACAGTTTGTTTTTGTTTTTGTTTTTTTTTAATGCTTCCCGAAGGTCCAGTCTGACCTTTTTGGGTATGGAAACCTCCAGGAAGGTAACCCCAGGTCTGCCTCTCAGTAGCTTCTGGCAGTCAGTACAGGACAATGTTTCCTTCTCCCTAGCTAACTGGAGAACACTGCTTGCTCTGCCAGAGAACCCAGGTTCATGTTCCAGTACGTAGGTGGCAGTTCACAACTATCTGTAACTCCCAACTCCACAGGGGTCATACATGCTCCCCTGACCTCCCTGGACACTAGGCACTCAAAGTTCCCAGACATACATGCAGGCAAAACATCCATACACATAAAACAATTTAAAGGAAAATCTTTGCCGGGCAGTGGTGGCACATACCTTTAATCCCAGCACTTGGGAGGCAGAGGCAGGCGGATTTCTGAGTTCGAGGCCAGCCTGGTCTACAGAGTGATTTCCAGGACAGCCAGGCTTACACAGAGAAACCCTGTCTTGAAAAACAAAAACAAAAGGAAAATCTTTAAGAGGATCTAAATATAGTAAAGAAAGAAAAGTCACGGAAGAGAGCCCAAGGCTCTCTTTACAGTCCTTCCCAGCCCAGCCTCCTTTCCTTGTCGTCTGATGGCTTCTCTCTATTCCCTGTTCCTTTCTCTGCCTGTCCCTCAAGCTCTTGCATTGAGGACTGGGCAGGACAAATGCCCAGTCCTGGAGGGAACAGAGTACTGACGCTGGCCCAAGAACACCCACCGCAGGAATGACATACCCACACAAGACGAGGGTCCTTTAGTGCGGTCACTCCAATCCTCAGATGAGAGTCTATCTTGTCACCTCAGCTCATCCACTGTCACCCCTCAAGTGGGTCCAGCCATGGCTACAGTTCCCACACATGTTTGGTTTGCTTCCCTCTTTGGGGGCGTGGGGGGTGAATCTGTCTATCCAAAGAGACTCCCCTCTCCCACCCACCCAGTCAAGCCATTGGTACCCCCACTCCCCATTGTAAACGTTTACATCCAATGCACATTCCTGATGACGATGAACGCTTGCCCTGGAGCCCTGGCAGATGCAGGTTTAAACAGTGTGCTTTTTTGGTGTTTCCTGAGAGACCCAAGTTTGTCTCAGGGCAGAAAGCTGGGGAGCTGCACATGAATACTGGGAGACCGGAAGACTGACCCCTCTTGCCTTGGGACCAGCGAATAGGAGACTCTAGGGGCGGGGGCGGGGGTCCTGAGTGCCCCTGTGTTTAGGTGAATTAGGCAATCTACCGTTTGCAGTGGCGTTTAAAGTTCCCTACAGGTGGTTACTCACGGAACAGAACCTCAAGCGATCAACGCGAGTGGACGAGTGGAGCTTGCTCTTCCGCCCTCAGGTCAGCCAGGAACAGAGGCCAGAAAGGCTTAGGGAACGTGTCTGAAGCCAAAGGGTTCCCACCCGCGTCAGTTCTTCCGCCTGGAAGCAGCAGGGAAGGATCTTGGGAGAGCAGGCAAGCCCAGCCTGGTCACCTGGGACTTCAGAGTGGACACAACTTCCCTACAGTCCTGCTGAGAAGCCTGGTGAGGACCCCAGGGCGGATCCCGAGGTATGGGGAGTTAGGGTACAGGTGCACCTTAATGCTGGCTGGGCTGGGCTCAGAAAACCACAGGAGAGAGCTAAGCCGGAGATGCATGCACCTCCCTTCTTCTGGGCCCGCTCCTACCCCGCCCTTGCCCCACCTCCTCCCTAGGACCCCCGCTCTTGCCCCCTCCCCTCAAGTCCCCGCCCATACCCCACCTCCTCCCTTGAGATCCCTTTCCCACTGTCCCGCGGCAACGGTCGCCTCGGTCCCCAGCGCCAGCGCCCCTCCCCCACCCGCGCTCCCGCTCCCGCCTTCCCGTCTCCTCCCTCCCCGTCTCAGTGGCCCCAGACCGACTGGCGGGCGGAGTCTGGGAGCGTGGCACCTGCAAGCAAGTCAGCTCGCTGGATGAGGAGAAGACAGTCCCCAGCACAAGCAGGTGTGCGCGGGGTCGGGGCGACGAGGGACAAAGGAGAGAGGAGGGGTGAGATACCGAAAGAGAAGGAGGGGGTTACGGGAATGAGGGTGGGGGTGGCAGAAGAAGGGAGTGGGAACGAGCCCGCCGCCTAGAACCATTCCTGTCCGGATCGCTTTGCTACTAGACTGGGATTCTCTCCCCTACATTTCACCTCCTCCTGGCCGGAACTCCGGCTCAGAGCAGGGGGGTTCTCCCTAAGTGTTCCCACTGTTAAGAGTGGGGTTCCTCTCACTCCCCCAGTGTCACATGGAAGGGGAATCCCAATACACACCAGGCGAGGTGTCACCTGCTGGAGGCGGGGCTCTTGCCTCCCCTGGGCAAGTCTCAGAACCACCCTCCAAGTTCTCTCCAGCTCCTTCCAGCCCACTGATTGGGCCAGTGTCCAGGACAGGTGCCATAGACAGAGAGGCTTGGAGCAGCACCTAGCCCTCTGGCTGATCGCTGGACTTGTCTGCTTTGCCTTTTTACCAAAACAAGCTTAGGCTGTAGGTTAAAAATAATTGTGTCACTTTCTCCGCTCACTCCAAAGTCTCCCAGTGGGAGTTACTTTTTAATCAGGCTCTTGGCATGGTTACTCTTGACCCTCTCAAGCCCTGAGTGCCACCTGGCTTTTCTAGAAGCCTCCTGGTCATGACCAGTTCTGCCCCCATAAACAGCTGCAGAGCCGTGGGCCTGCTGCCCAAAGGATGTACTTTGAGGTAGTGGGAGGCCCCAGGATGTGTGGCCCTGGCAGCAGGTCACCACCAAAATAAAGTACCACCCCTTCTCCTTGGTGGCTGGGGGTGGGGTGTGCACGGTTCTCTCTTCCAGTCAGCAGGATACCACTTAGTCAGGTAAGAGTAGCTTGCTCCCCTGGAGGAGGAGCCCCTGGATTCTGGGGAGGATTTCTTAAGTATAGACCCCAGTGGTCTGTCTGTCTCAGAGCTGGTCTCAAGACCTGAACTTGCAGAGGAGGGTTTCAAAGCTGTGCCAACAGCCTTGGTCAGTTGCAGCAAGAGGACCTCCACTTTGTCCTTAGCCTTTCTGGCCTCCAGAGCCCTACAGGCCAAGGCAAGGTTGTATTTTAGCTTGTCATCTTGCCCTGCATGCAATTCCTCGGCCGAGGCTTGGGAAGTGATCACTCAGACTCTTAGCCAGTGTGGTCAAGAGCCACTACTCTCCAGGAAGATGGCAGAAACCTGCTCCAGCTTCCTTGCCACGTCTGTAGAAACAGAGACTGGTAGAAAAGACTTACAGAGAGTAACAGCTGTAAGGGACCAAGGATGGCCATGGAAGCCACCCACAGGCCTGAGCACAAAGTTTTGGTGCCAAGGGCCCCCTTGTTTCTGTGTCATCAGACATCTCTGACCCATCAGCTCTCTGCAGAGCTACCTTAAGTTCCTTTAGTGGAGAGGTCTGAGAACATGAAGGGGGACAAAATGTCCCCTCCCCACATTGCCAAGGTCTTTTGTGGATATGCCCTTCTCATAGGTGCTAGGCCAGCTCTGTTTGAGGGTCCCCCAAGTGCAGATATTTGTCTTGTGAAGCCTGGCGTCTTAGTCACCTCTGTACAGAGGTCTCTTCCTTGAAGGTTACTTCATTTCATTTCTAGAAAATGTGGTGAAATATGAAGCAAAGAGAGGATTCTCAAGTGAGGATGGAACAAGGGACCTGCCTGTCACCAGTGTGAGGATGGCAGGGACAGGAACAACATGTCCTATGTGTGCCCAGCCTATCTGTGCCACTCCCTGGCTTTACCCTTCCTGGTTCAGGTGAGAGGGTAGCCAGGACAGCACCTCTGATCTCCCATGGTCCTCTCAGTGTGACACTGTGGGTACTTACACCCTGGCCCTGATGAGCAGGTCCCTGTCTGCCCTGCATATTATGGAAGTCATAGGAGCCTTTCTCTGTGGGACCTGGCATTTGGGTACAGAATGGCTGCTGCTATATTTTCCTTGGAAAGAGCCCCACAACGTGGGTACACAAACTTGGCACTCTTTGGGGGACACCACACCTGGGAGAAAGTCTCTTACAGCAGTGCCACCTGCATAGGGTGGTGGCTTCAGAATACTATGGGCCATTGCTTGGGATTAAGTAGGGGGAGGCTTTGTGGTCATCCCGTGGCTTCAGGCTGCCACAGGACTGGGGAACTGAAGTGATACTCCCTCCGGGCCCTGTCAAACGGAGGTCTCAGAACTTTGGGGCTTTAATAGGTCAGTGAACACACCATAACTAGATACCAAGAGACCCTCAGACACCCAAGAAAGCCAGTCACCATGAACCATGGATCAAGAGCACAGAGCACAGAGTGTTGAGTAGTTCGGTCATTAATCACGACCACCAGTGAGCTCTGTGGGGATCACAGGAAATTCCCCTCCTTCAGAATGTTCAGGGTGACTTTGGAGCCCCAAAGGGCAGATGTGTTCCGAGATCTAAGAAAATGCCAGCCCCAGAAAGCAGCATTTCAGCTGGGGACGCTCTAGGGCTCTGACTGACGATTCACCGTGTGCATACATTACCGAAATTGCCAAAAATGGATGAATAAAACCAGAACAAATCTGCCAGGGGAAGCGACAGCAGACACAGGTACAGTGACTGCACTCTGCACACAATTTCTCTGTCAGAGGACAAACCAGCCTGGAAGAGGCTCTGCATGAGGAGACAAGGGGGGAGGTGAAGTGGGAGATGTGTTAATGATCTTGAGTGGCGGGCTGAAACCAGAGTCACTCATGTGAGGGGTGCCTCTGCACTTTGTTTCTGCTCTGTGTGGGCAGCAAGCAAAGAGTCACTGGGGCCCAGGCTGCCACGGTGACCTCTCCCCGAGGGTGTTGCTTCCTTTGCACGCATTGGCACCGAGTCTTGTCTGGTGTTACATTCTGTGCCACCCACCAGAAGGCAGGACTTACTCTGACAAAGACAATGGCAGGTGTGTAATAAACACTGCCCAAGCGACCAGTGAGTCAGGGATGGGGTTGTGCCTCGCTTCACTGTGCATAGCCAAGCTCCAGCTACCTGGTGACTTTTCAGAGCTGTGGTTTAGCCTCACTCTTGTGTGTGTGACACCTATTGAGGCTCCAGAGTGCAGGGACCTGAGACCTAGGCCACCCAGGCTGGCTTTTCATAGTGGACAGAGAATACCCGAAAGCTGTCAGATGCCTGTCTAGTGCCTGGGGTTGTGCCAACCTTGAGATTGTAAAACTGAGTCCATACGGATGCAATTGTCAGGACTGGCCTTCTGTGCCCTTGGTCAACACCAGCTGTGAACGTCTGGCTTCCTGCCTCTCAGGAAAGTCACCACTGCCTGTCACCCTTGTGCTGCGCCCAGCCTCCCTCTCTGCCTGAGCATGAGCAAGTTTTAACTCCCAGGGTTGTTCTTACACAGTATTCTAGGAGATGCTGTGGACATAACATGGCTGGAGAAGGGTTGTCTGGAGCAGCGGGCGGGAGGAGCTCAACCCTCCTTGGGGCCTAAGGATGACCTAGGGGAGAAGAGAACCACAGGCTCTGGGCAGCCATGAGGCAGAGGCACCCCAGCAAACTTTAGTCATCCTTAAGTATGGACACACATAGATAGTATCACCCTGGCCTCTTCCCAGAAAAGTCTGGGACACTGACACCCCCAGCAAAGATTAAAATTCTCTTTACTAGAATTTAAAAGACTAGAGGGTTTGCATGTTGGTATGTTTGTTTGTTTTTCAACCAGGGAAGTTTCCCTTCCAACTTTTTATAGTCATAATTTGGTTCACAGAACCCAGAAGTAGGTCTCTGGTCAAGGGTGACTTGCCCTTGGAATTCTGTTCTTCCAGAATCTCTACATGCTGATGAGGAGAGCAAGACAGAACTATGCTGTGTATATGAAGTGCCACATAGAGAACACCCACCCCAGAGCCTTCCCCCTCCAAGGTCAGTCCTCAGACCATTACAGGGACAGCTTGAGAAACTTCATAGAAAACAGACATGCATAGGGTGACAGAGGATACAGCGGGCAGCATTTATAACCACAAAGGGACTTGTTTCTTGTCAGATAGGCAGATAGGCCAGTTAGTTGCCCATTCCCAGAGCCGGCTGGGAGTTGGGGAGGAGGCAGGAGGGAGCACAGCCTTGGCTGGATACTTCTGGAAGCATTGCTACTTACTGGACCGTGGGCATTCCCTGGCCAGGCAGCCTGCTTCCTCCTTGAAGGAGTCACACTGTGAACAGAGGTTCTCGGGGCCCTAGCCCCCCAGATCACATTTCTCAGGCCAGACATCTCCATATAAATCTTTACCCACCACTAGCCAGACCCCAGGAGGGACAGGCAGCTGAGCCCAAACAAAGAAAGGCCTCTGATTCTGACGTGGTTTTTCTCTGAAAAGAGAGGTCAGACCTGTGCTGAGAAGGAGGTTGCGCAGGAATTTTGAAGTTGGGAATCTTAATCATCCAACCTGTCCAGGAAGGTGTCTCCTGCAGACAGTGGCAGGAACTGGGGAAGGAAGGACTGAAGCGAGGTGTCTGTAGCCTGGGGCAGGGGGACTCAGAGCTTGAGGCAAGCTGAGAGGGATGTCACTGTAGAAGATAGGTTTCCTGTGGAGAGCCGAGACAGTGTACATAGAAGCACTCCACTCTCCTCTCAGAAGTGTGCTGAGCCACAGAGAGGAGTCCTATGGAGGCCAGGGAGTGGTCACCCCAGGGCAGGTAAAACTAGCCATGGTGCCTCTGAAAGTGTGATACTTTCTCTTTAAATTCAAGATCATTTCTCCAGAAGCTTCACCAAGCAAGGTGTTGGCCAGATCTCCCCTGGAGGAAGAAACACGGTAATGTTTGTTCTGGACCTGAGAGCCTTCACTTTGCTTAGAGGATTTAAAAATGTTTTGAGTAATCTGAAGAGCCACCAGCCTGGCTTTGAAAGTGAGGCGAACACGGAAAGCCAGAGAACAGGAACTTTTGTGTCCTTGAATCAAGACTCTAAATGTCAAGGAGAAATTCTAAGGTTTTCCCCCTTTCCCTTCCTATGCAGAAGTAAGCACTGTTTTTCCCGTACAACCACTATGTCAGTATTTACAAGCAAAAGCTGTTTTTTTTTTAACTGAATATCAAGACAGCCTGCTACAAGCTGTTGAAATTCACACAATAAACTTAACTTTACACATCTTATATTTAATTCAGAATAAACGCTAAAGACCATAGCTGGTGGTTTTGTTCTTGTCCAAAGAAGCAATCCTTCGATCTCCTGCAACCTGACTTCATTTTCCTCTGACATCACAGCCTCATGTCCGACTGCTGGTGCTTCATCTTCTGCAAGGAACACGCTAGAAGCAATCCTTCGTCACCACAGTGCGATGGGGCCTCAAGGGAGGAGGCCGATCACCAGGTGGACGTGTCTGATGGCATCAGGCTGGTTCCCGACAAAGCAGAGGCCACGACGGCCACAGCCTCAGGTAGGTGCTGGCGGCCCAAGCCTCTCTGTGATCCCAGATGACGATTAGACTCTAAAGTCCTGAGCTGAGCCACTGGGCACCAGAATGAGTCGCTGAGCCCCTGGAGGTGCCGAGGGTTGTCATGGGTTAACCTGTTAGTGTCATAAGAAGAAGCTGGCTCTGCTTAGAGATTATGAGACGTGTTTCTTTGGATTTTAAATAAAGCACAGCACACCAGAAGGGGAAACATTTGTCGTCTTTGCTTCCCTTTTTTTGGTACTGTTGCTTTAATTTGGTATGTTTTATCTTAACCATGCAGACCAGCTCCACATTACCAGAAATAATAGAATTAGGGCCATATAGTGTGAACCCCCAGCCTTCCAGGGCATCGGCTTTTCCCAGGGTCCGTCTCTGCATCAGGCTAGTGTGTTGGTCCATGGCCCTGGCCAGCCTACCAGGTCAGCAGTATATGAAAGGAGACCGAGTGCGCCTCGGGTCTGCGCACTTTTACCTGTGCCTTCCCACCCTGAGCCCCAGAGGAAAGCACACAGCAGGCCGAGCGGGTGTGAGCATCCCACTGTGGGGGGGAGGCAATCAGGCTCACACACACACCTTCCTGCCATCCTTCAATCTTCTGGCCAAGCCTTGGCTAGCATTTGAGGCGCTGTGCTCCAAGGCTACCCCCACTGGGATCCTTGTCCAGAGCTGTATGTCTTTTTTCTTTTTTCTTTTTGGTTACTTTATTTGTTTGCATTTCAAAATGTTGTCCTTCTTACTGGTTTCCCCTCTGCAAACACCCTATCCCACCCCTCCTCCCCTGTCTCTATGAGGGTGCTCCACCCACCCACTCCCACCTCACCACCCTAGCATCCCCCTATACTGGGCCATCAAGCCTCCATGGGACCAAGGACCTCCCCTCCCATTGATGCCTGACAAAGCCATCCTCTGCTACATATGCGGCTGGAACCATGGGTCCCTCCATGTGTACTCTTTGGTTGGTAGTTTAGTCCCTGGGTGCTCTGGAGTTCTGGTTGGTTGATATTGTTGTTCTTCCTATGGCATTGCAAACCCCTTCAACTCCTTCAGTCCTTTTTCTAACTCTTCTCTTGAGGTCCCCGTGCTCAGTCCAGTAGTTGGCTGTGAGCATCCCCATCTGTATTGGTCAGGCTCTGGCAGGGCCTCTCGGGGGACAGCTTTACCAGGTTCCTGTCAGCAAGCCCTTTTTGCATCAGCCATAGTGTCTGGGTTTGGTGTCTGCAGATGGGGTGGATCCCCAGGTGAGGCAGTCACTGGATGGCCTTTCCTTCTGTCTCTGCTCCACTCAGTCCCTGTATCTTCTTTAGACAGGAACAATGCTGGGTGTCTTGTTCAGGGTGTCTGCGGTAACAGTCTAAGGTTTAGGCTAGCACTCTTATGCTAGCTTCTAAGGAATAGTGCTTTGCCTGGCAACCATGGCTCAGGGCTCTCTGGACCCAGTATTGTGACCCATACCATCTGCCTTGGCTGAAGGAGAGATAGTATCTCTTATGGTGGCTCTACCTGAGGTCTGTGGCTTGTGTTTCAGTTTCTGTCTCTCTGTGTTGGTGACCCTGTCCTCAAGGAACAGCTAGAGTCCAGTCTTCTGGTGGACCCCAAGTGGGAGCCAGGGATGGGCCCTTTTTCATCATGAGCCACATGTTTCTGCTTCTCCCAGGGTCTGGTCCAGACTGAGAGGGGGTGGTTGGAGAGAGGCTGCCATCAAAGGGCTGTGCAAAAGGGGGGCTCCCCAAGAAGTCCATGAGGGGCTGTTTGAGGGAAACCCCCTTAGCACTGTTTACTCTAGCTGGAGTGTGACGAGTCCCTTGGGGCTCAGTCCGCTTTGGTCATGTGATCCTTGTGCCAATGGGCACCAGTTGGTACTTGCTGGACTTCCTTAGGCTTCCGAATGAGCCTCACAGGTGCTTGGTTAAGGCTGTCCTGGGAGCAGCCAGCTGGTCAGTCCCAGGTTGACACTGACCTGGCTGCTCTGAATTCATTGTCCAAACTTCCCTGACAGGAAAACCTGTCAGTATGTCCCATGAGACAAGGACTGTAAGGCAGAAAGCCTGGCTCAAGATCAGGCTTTGTCACCCCTATGTGGGCATGGCGTGTCCTGAGCTTGCCACCACACAGGGCAGTGGGAGCCACCCCGGGCTCTGGAGCTGGGCATCACTCCACAGATCTCCACCCTGTCTCACATAACTCTTCACTCCTTTGTTCTCTCTGTATGGCCGTCTGTCCTTCCTGACCCAGAGCCATGGAGTCCAGAGTGCTGCTAAACCAGTGACTCCAGGCAGTGGCCCCTTGTGATGACTCCAGCAGATGATCTAAGGACAGGCTCGGAGCGAAAGCACCCAGACACTCTCCTGTTTCTGTGACAGACAAGGGCTGTGATCAGGAAGCCCTTGAGTGAGCGTGCCGTGACCTCTTGACAGGCTCACAGCTCCTGACTTGACAGGGTCACGGCTCCTGAGCCCTGCCCTCTTCCTTTCTGGTTACCTTTCCCAGATTATTCCAGAAGCCCTTTGAAGTGATGTAACTTACGTGTCAAAACTTATATTTTTAAATCATTAATTTTTGTAGTGACAAAATAAAGGCCGCACTTCTGTCTAAACATTTAGTGCATAAAATGTGCCCTCATAACACACACACACCAACTCTGGATCTCTTACCTGTCCAAACTCATCCCTAGTCCCAGACCCCGGAAGCCACTCCTCTGCCTTCTGTCTGGGTAGTCTGACACACCAGGGCCGTAGTGAATGTCTTCATCAAGTGTTCTCACTCATGGCTGGACAGCTTCGCTGGGCACTCGTCAGAGATGTCTGTGTCCAGGCTGAGTCAAGAGTCCAGGCTCTGATGGCCTAGCACGTGCTTGCCCTTAATGCAAATGAGTGCATGGGCTTCATGCCCTGAGTAGCTATTGTGAGCAGTCGTGAACGTGGTATGCTTTTCACCCCTGAGTGCCTCTGGAGCTAGGTGAAGGGTGACTGGCCAGTCTGAGAGCCGTTTTACAAGCTTAGTTCCCCAGTGCCATTTCTCTGCCATTCCGATGGCAGGAGCCTCAGGCACAGGAGGCCGTGTCTAGTCTGTCAACGCTCTGCTGTCCCTGAGGTCACGCTGAGGTTTGGACCATGCTGGGTAAACACTGATAAGCCTGTTTTCCAGCTCGCTTGCCACAGTGTGTGTGATCTGGCCCTTTCTTCGGCCTTCTTCATTTCAACATTTCACCACAATAGCGTGTTTGGCCAAGTAGTCCCCAAAACTCTGTGGTTACCCACTTCACTCTCTGGTGTGGGAGGCCTCAAAAGTATCCGTGGAGAGGCCCGTTTCAGGGATCCCAGCTGGCCCGTCAGACACCTACCATTCAAGTCAGCTGCCTGTGCGAAGTGACATTGTGAACGGCCCCTGCCCAGAGCGGTGGCCTCTGGACCTTGCTCCTTCCTTGGTCAGGCTTTGAGGCAGGCCCATCCTCACCATGGGGCTGCTCTTGCTGCGGAGCCAACCCTCCTGAGGCTCTGTTCTGACTTGGCAGAGATTGGACTGAGTCCAGCCTGAGGGTCCCTGACGCTGAAACTCTTCCTGCATTCCTTCTTCACTGTGGTTAAGAGCTGGCTTTTCTGCAGAAAATCACTTCCTTGTATGCAGGATGGAGCTGTGCCACTCCTGGGAATGGGTCGAGGAGGCTCCGCCTCCCAAATGACCGTTCTCTGAGTCCTCTAAGTCCACCCATGCTTGCCTTCTGGGTCCTCCAGCCTTCCCCAACACCATCAGCGTGGCTCACCTGATTGGTAGGCATTCTATTACTTCTGTCTCCCACCATCCGGGCCATGCCTCTCTCGGCATCCTCGAAGGTCTCTTTTCCGGCTTATGTGCCAGGGCCCTGTGCCTGCTCTGTAGCATGTTCTTCAGCGCTTAGAAGCAGAGCTGCAGCTAGGTGTCTGTCAGCTCTACCTCGGAGGTGCAGGCAGGAAGACCACGCATTCGAGGTCATTCTCTGATACAGAACAATCAAGGCCACCCTGAGCTCAGGAGAGTGTCTCAAAAGCAAGCAGTCAAGCAAGCAAAAACATGAAGCCACCTGTGTCAGAATGCAAACATGCCTGGAGTCTAGGATGGCCCCTTGGAGTGGAGCTAGAAAGATAGTGTCCTGGTGTGCTCCATCCGTGCTCCATCTTACATACACACACACACACACACACACACACACACACACACACACACACGGTGTACATGGTGGGTTTCATTGAGATGAGTTTAAAGCTGATCTGGCTCTCCAGATTCATTCTCTGGATGCCCAGCAGAGCGTCCCTGCCCAGGCTCCCGACTCTGTCTCCTTGGCGGTGGTCTCCCCATTAGACCACCGGGTGTGAATGATGCTACCTGCTCCCCTCTGGGGGAGGGGGGATCTGCACTCTTGCCCTAGCAAGCCAGAGAACCAACCTTGGCTGAGGCTGCCCCTTCATCTGAAGCCAGGGTCTGAGAGGTGGAGAGGAACCCCCTGTGATGGTGGGCACTCCCCAGTGACCTTTTAGGTATAGGGTAGCATGTGTGGATAAAAAAAAAAAATAAAGCAAAATACATTCTCTTCTGAAGGCTTGGGTAAAAAGGAGAGAGACGTGAATGGTGAACAGGGTCGTGGATAGGATGGATCCCCAGGCGTCCGTCCCACGTTACAGCCTTCCCTGTTCGTGACTGCATATGGCCAAACCTAATGCTTTAATGTATTTTAAAATATGGTCAGTGGACAGGGGCTGCAAGCAGAATGGAAGGAGCAAGAAGAGACTTGGTCCTTTCCTTGAGGACCAAGGATGTTAGCACTCAAGTGTAACCAGTTGACTGAAGACGGGTTTGGAAAAGAATATGACCTCAGGACCTGGCAATCGGAAACCGGCTTTCTCATTATCTCGGCTTGGGGGGCAGGGAGGAGTCCTGATGACAGCTTGCCACAGAGGGAATGAAGTGCCCTGATTATAGCATCCTGCACCCAATGGCTGCAGGTGTGC